GTCCCTATCTACTGGGACTTTCCCAGAGGCTTTAAAGGAGGCGGTAGTTCGCCCACTCTTGAAAAAGCCATCATTGGACCCAACGGTCCTAACCAACTACCGCCCAGTGTCAAACCTACATTTCCTGGGTAAGGTGGTTGAGAGAGCGGTGACCGAACAACTCCAGGCCTTCCTGGATGACTCTTCCATTCTTGACCCTTTCCAGTCCAGCTTCCGCCCTGGCCATGGGATGGAGATGGCTCTGGTCACCCTTACAGACGACCTCTGTAGACATCTGGATCAAGGTGGGTCAGCACTGCTGTTGCTATTAGATTTAACGGCAGTGTTCAATACGGTCGATTATGATCTTATGACCTGCAATAAATAAATAAATTTAGGGTGATTCTTCATTGAGCAGGGGGCTGGACTAGATAGCCTTTATGCCCCCTTCAAACCCTATTATTCTAACTTCCTCTAAAGCCTCCCCCCCCAAAAAAAAGAAACAGTTTAGCAAGTTTAGCTGGTACAGCTGTGACTACCTAATATCTTGTGTCTGATGCACTAAATCTATTTAGCCAATCCTTTTATACCCATAGTGGTTTCTATTTTGTTTCCAAGGGTTTTTAAAAATTATTTTAAATAATTTAATCTCACGGTGTGCAGAGCTGTTAATAAAGCCAACTGTACAAGCATCATTAGAATATAAGCAAAAATTATAACACATAAAATTATTTTTAAAAGAAATAGCAGGGTTTTATTTCAGATGTGTAAATTGCTCTGGACAACTATTCAGTTTTATAAACTAAGTAAAGTAAGATAACTGATTACATTAATTGTGTATATTAAAACTGTATTAAATGCCCAAGTGAATTTCAAAAAGCTTATTAACTAATAGTACATTGCTGCATTTTATAAAAGCAGTTTTAGTGTTTGCTTAGTAGTGTCCTCACTGGTATATATTTTTTCAATATTAATGCATGATTTGTAGTGGCCTGTCTCTTGAATAATTTTATTTAGCTGCCATTAAAATTTGAAATGCCCATTTGTTTTGAAAACATCAACTTTGAAAATGGCCTCTGAAATTCACACAAATTATCCATTCCAAACCTGTCAATGTGAAAATAGCTTGTCAAGAATAGCTTAGATGAAGAGGAAAAAACATTGGTAACTTCTCTTTCTTTCTCTCTCTCTCTGTTTAATGTGGGAAATCGTACATCTTTATTGAGATAAAACTGCAATCCTAGCATTGGCTTTTCATGTTGTTTCTAGCAGGTCAAAAGTTCACATCCAAGGAAAGGAGCACTCCAACATATTTGATATGGAAAATCAAACTTGTCACTTACTTGCAGCCTTTCTCTGTGAAATGTTCTATCACAATGTATGCCCTGGAGATTAAAATCTGGCTCTCACAGTGTTACTCTTTTAAACTATGTTATCTGCCTCCGTGAGCAGTGGAAAAAAAAGAGAAGATGAAATTCAAATTTCCCTGCTTGCTTCAAATAAAGGAGACAGTCCTCTTGTTTTCAGCCATTTGATTCAACACTTGGGCTGCGATCACACAGACTAAATAATTCACTGTCGATGCACTTTCCAACTGGATGTTACTATATGAACTTGCAAAATCCCGTTGGAAAGTGCATTGAAAGTGGACTATTTACTGTGTGTGATCACAGCCTTGGAAAAGTTAAGAGCTGCCTTTATTGGTTCATGTGCTAGGGATGCCAACCTCCAGGTGGGACCTGGGGATCCCCTGGAATTGCACCTCATCTGCAGACTACATAGATCAGTTCCCCTGGAGAAAAGGGATGCTTTGGAGGGTGGGCTCTATGTCACTGTGCCCCCACTGGGGTCCCTGTCTCCACCCTGAAGTCTCCAGGAGTTTCCCAACCCAGAGTCGGCAACCTTCCCCCCCCCCCCCAACCCATTGGCCAGAGGACATGGCAACACTACTCACGTCCCCAAGGGTTGTGTCTCTGGGCATGTTACAGCTTTGAATACTTGTGAGAAGCAGCAGACAGATTGTGAGATGTTATTCAGCTAGCTAGCACAATTTCCCCCAATTTCTCCCCGGGGCAGCCAGAAACATCATTTCAGTGGCATACATAAAACAGTTAAATGAGACAAAATGGAGATCATGAATAACCCTTTTCAAGGTGAATTTTGCACATATGCAGCTAGTTTGAATCAGGGTCATACAGGGATGGTAGAGTGTGCATACCCTTCCAGGCCCACATATGTTTGAACTAAAAACTCCCTGGGAAGACCAGTTTCCATTAACAAAACCCTATGGGGATGTAAGAGAGAGCTCTGAATCAGGGCCATAAATACCTGAATTGCTCTCTGTAAAAATTACTAAGAAGATCCAAGCATGGAACTAACAGCATCTTCTTACCTTTTAAAATCCATAGAAAAGCAAGTAAAATAGCATTACAAGAGATAGCAAAAAGTTTTAAAGATTTTGGGTATGGAAGAAAAATGTTATCTGCTCTTTAAGACTTCTCTCTCTCTCTCTCTCTCTCTCTCTCTCTCTCTCTCTTTTTCTTCCTTTTTTCTACTTGTGACATGGGAGGAAATGCCTGTAGTTTCCCCCATGAATTCCATAAGTCTAAATGAGATGCAGTCACCCAACTAAATTAGAATACATATATTTAAAGGAGACCTTCAGAAGCAGTAAATGGGTTCTGATATCAAACTGATCTGAGATCTGTTTCACATCCTTGGGGACCTTTTTTAGAGTTACTGGCAGAAGGCACTTTTCATAATTCGGTAGGTGGTACTTGGAGGTGGAAAATTCTCAGCAAGGTTTAGGGCTTGCTTTTAGATGTATTCACAATTAAATTGCAGGATGGCATGAGTTGTAGTTCCTCTCTTATTCATCACTACACCAGCATTATCAACACAGCTCAAGCATTTTAGCCTTTTTTTAAAAAGCAAACTGATTTGAGCCTTTGCTATGCATACTTGTGCCGAACATCTACTTAATTGTCCCTTAGGAACAATCACGAGTGGTCTGAAATGATATCATGATGCCAGCCCCTCTTTAAATGGCACTCTGATCATAGGTGCCCTGACTTGTATCCGGCTCTGCAGCCTTTTCCCCTCCGTTGCAGAATCACAAATAAACTGTCACTTAGTGCCCCTGTGTCCTGCTCTTAGACCTTCAGATTCAAGTGACCAATTCTGGTGTTCCCAAAGAGGAGGAATTCTTACCCTATTGGATACCTTTATACTGCCCTTCACTTGTATAATGTATTTGTTGAACTGTTTGAACAGAGGAACACATTCTTCCAGGGAGTAAAGTTTTGCATTTCTGTCTCTACCATATCTCTAAAGAACTTAGTACTAACCTGAGCTCTTTTTTTTTTTAGTTGGCTTGATCATAAAATTTAATCTTGGTGACCATTTACAGTAAAGCAAAGAGCAAGAGTCCAGTAGCACCTTAGAGTCTAACAAAACATGTGACAGGGTATGAGCTTTCATGAGTCACTGCTCACTTCTTCAGATACCAGTGACTCACGAAAACTCATACCCTGCCACATAGCTTGTTAGTCTTTAAGGTGCTACTGGAGTCTTGCTTTTTTCTACTGCGACAGACAGACTAACATGGCTACCCATCTTGCTCAATAAAACAATGGTTTATATCTAATTTTAGAAGCAAAGTAGGCTCCCTTATGACTCTTACAGTGCTGTAGAGCTAATGCTGAAAGAGCTTACCCAACCTTGAAAAACAGCATCAGAATGATAGTCTTTTGAAGTACTGCAGTTGAACAAAAAAAAAAAAGATGTTCCAAGAAAAGAATGAAGAGAATGAACTGATTCAGACATCACACAAGTCACCACTGTTGTGAAGTTAACCCTGTGCATGGTGAGAGTGTGCTATGTTACAAAGTGTGACTGGTGGGGTGAATCTTTCTACACTTTGGGCACAGGTGTGTATAAAATGACACCATATGAAGCGATCCAGAATCAGGAACAGGATTCTTCAGTATATTGATGGTAGACTGACTGCATTAGTTTCATTTTCTGGCCTTCCCGGATTACATCCATGGGTTCCAATGCTTGTCCTTTTAGTGAATGTATCTTCACTATTTTCACTGGAGACCTGTTCAAAGAATATATGCCCTGAATAATAAATGCCAAACCTATGCAGATAACAGCATAGGTAGAATAAAAGTGAGAACCTAAAATTAATATGACTTTAATGTATTTTCACACCAGTTGAACTCACAGTTGATTGGCATTTGTGTTCTTTAGATTATATACATTCCCTTTGTATCTTAAGGTTGCAAAGAATCTTTGTTTTCCCTGTTGTATATACTGAAGAGCTCTGAGCAGATGAATGAAAGGCATATGCTTTGTTAGTGTCTGACAAGTGTTCTACTGAGGAGGAAATGGGTACGCTTTTAACGCTACATTCAGATTCAAGGACATCTAGTTATGAAGTACCTTCATAAACAACCAGTTATTATTATACATTTATCAATAGTTTGAAAATAGCCTTGAACTTAGGAATGTGAACATAGGGATGCATGCTTGAACAAGCGATTTCAGGTAGAACTTTGACTTCTGAGAGTGTTTCTTCTGCTGATTTTTTTCATGATTTGTTTTTATATGATAATAAAAGGATGAGGAACTGAGATCCCAAGCTCCTCAAAGAAATACAGTTCCAGGATCTCCTGGAGAAACTAGTATTTAACCACATCTAGTTTAGATTTGATCTAGATATGCACAATTAAGCACATATTTAAGGAAGCAAGTACAATAAATACAAGAGAACAAACCTTAACCTGAACTTTTCTGTTTCCTGATACAAATTGTATGTGCAAAAAAATTCCATATTTTAAATTGTTTTCTTAAGACTAGATCTGAAGTTCTTACAAATGCTTTTCAAGAATATCACAACTATGTGATGTGGCCTTTAATTCTAAATACAGATGTGTGTAGAGGAAAGGTATTTGATGGCTAAATGCATACAGACAATACAGTCTTCCTTATAAAAGTGGTATTTGTCCTCATTGCAGCTCCTCCCAACTGGATTCAGAAAATAAGTGATGCTCATGTGACTATAGAAGAAAACATCTTTTGGGAATGTAAGGCAAATGGAAGACCAAAGCCTTCTTACAGCTGGCTGAAGGATGGTGAACCACTCATCCCTCAGGTACAAACGTTACTGGTGTTCTTTGTGTTCCGAGTTTGGGGACTGCCTTGAAAAGGTTGTTTTGATGTGATGACCTTTTTCATGTTTCTGTAGTTTGTTGCTGTTGAAAGAGAAATGTGTGCAACCATGTGGCCTTAAAAACTCCATCCGTCCTGGAGCAGACTTCCTTCTTGAGCTTTCCTTGTAGTTAAAACAATGACACTTCAAGGCAGATTTTTCAAAGGCAGGAATTATCCTTAGGCACCTAATTCCTAACCGATATTCAGTGAGAGCTAGGCATTTACGTGCCATTTTCTGCTTTGGCAATCATACCGCTGAATCCAGTGGAATTTAGCAGCTCTAGTACTCATCTCCAGAGGACATTTGCCATGAGAAAGGGGATACAAAAATGGCTGCATATTTATAACTCCTCATCGCTCTGTGGGGGAGGGGGAAGTGTAGTTTTGTAACAAAATGTGTGTGGATTCAGTGAGGCCAAAATAATATAGTTATTTAGGCTATAAAATAGCTTTTCTCCATCCTGTTTCTGAGCTTCTAAAGTTTAATTGAACTTTACAGCTGATCTCCCATTAGCAGTGGCAGAATAAACTGTTTAAAGATTAATTATATATGGAAAGTCAGGAAATACCTTCTCAGTACCCGTTCTGTTCTGTGTCACACCAAGGGGATCCCTTGATTTCCTTCATTATGTAGCTAAATTAAGCAGATTACTCAGACTCCCTTATCAGACTCCCTTCATGCTGACATAGAAGACTGTTTTGCCCATATTTGATCAACCCTGCAGCAGAGATTGCACAAACAGAAACTGTAACCCTGCAGTTAAGAAGTCAGTAATTTTTATTTTATATGAGTTATTGGTTTGGTCGTTAAAATACAGGGAAACACATTGTGGTACTTATTAAAGCTAATAAGATAAATCCCATGTCCTTCGGCAATCAAATGATTGCAGGATCTTTTGTTCCTCATGCTAATTTCACCTGTTCCATGCAGGTCAGTAGCAGATGTTCTTGAACTTAAATCACATTAGACCAAAGTAATGGATTGTTAAATTAATAGCATTTACATTTTTAGGTGTTTTTTTAAAAAAATTCTGGTACCAAAAAACGTGTGTATGATTTCATTATACCATTAGAAGTGATTACAGCTCCCCTTATACTTCAAGGGGATGCAGACTAATAGTTCTGCCTTTCTAAAGGTTCTGAAGAGCTTTCCTGGATGTGATAGGCTACGGTGCACTCCAGAACAGAAGGAGTTTTAGATTCAAGTTTATCTGCTTGAAGAGGCTATTAATCTAAATGGTTCAGATGTTCAATCAATGAGGAGTCAAGAGAGAGGGAAAGAAAAAAGGAACAGAGGGCTCCTGTTCAAAAGGCATTTACCAGTTGTAGTACTGGTTTTTCTGTTTAGCTTTTAATATGATATAAATTTAATTGGCAGACAAATAGATTGCATCATGTAAACTGTTCATAAATTTGCCTGTTTCATCTTCAATTTTACCTCTGCCGTGTTATAATAATGATACGATTCTAGCAAGGGATAAGTTTTGAAGCTGAATTTCCTTTATTTATGTATATTGTGTTTTGCAGGAAAGAATTCAGATAGAGCATGGAACCCTCACCATAACCAACGTGAACCTATCAGACACTGGCATGTATCAGTGTATGGCAGAAAACAGACATGGGGTCATCTACGCCAGCGCAGAACTGAGTGTAATCGGTGGGCTCTTTTTCCTTAACAAATACTGAAAAAAAATACTGTTAGCCTGATTAGTTTTGTTAGTTTTATAGACATTCATAAATAATTCCTTGCAGTTCCTGTATGATGGGGTTGTCCACATATATGAAGTAGTCATTATACATGTTATAAACTGGACAGATTTCCATTTTTTTCCATGCAGTTGCTAGTAGATCTTTTGTTATGGGGGTTCTCTTCTACCTCCTTGAAGTATGATATCTTGTACCACAAACAAGGCAGTTCTTGGAGAAAGTGCAGCCCTTGTGATAGCAAGGACATGAATTACACAACTCTTCTCTCCTCCTTCTGCCATTTTGACCTTTGCTATGGATGGATAGAATGAAGGCAGATTTTGGTGGCTGAATGCTTCCCAGCTTTGTCACTATAGTGGAGGAGCATTTTTTCTCTCTCTCTCTCTTTTTTAAAGACCTCAGTTTAAAAAAAAAATTGTTTAAAACTGTATCCCCACAGCAAGAATGTCCAGGCTCTTTGATAATGGAGCATGAAATTGTATAGAATTAATCAAAAAGAGAACACTTTCCTTTTGATTTTTCCATAGCCAAGTAGTTGATAGTGAACAGTAGGTAGTTCTTTTTTTTTTTTTTGAAACCCTCGAAAGGGTATTTTTATTATTTTTCATAAGACTAATAACTACAACGAAAAATAGGGAGGGGGAAGCTACAACTAAGGATAAAGGAAAGATACCCACACTAACTAAAATCCCAAGAGTAGGAGATCCTTTCCATGTTAATCTAAATGTTAGTAATACAAGTGTTAGTAATACAATATACTTGTGAAGTTCTTGTTTAACACAGCTTCTATATTAGTAAGTTAATCTTTATGAGAGTTCTTCTTGGGCATCTTCTTACTTCAAAGAGCCATTTACAGAGTCCTTCTGTCCTTACTTCAGTTTTCTATCCCTAAGGTCTTACACATTTTTCGTTGCTCCCGCACCTGCTTCCCCCACCGAGTCCTCATCCGTTCCCGAGGTACAGAGTCACTTGACTTGGATTCTTCATCTTTATGTTCTACTTCCTTAGCTTTGAAGATGGAGTCAATCTTCTCTCTTTTGCCGTTAACTTTAAAAATTACACATTCAGGAATCGCCCACCTGTACTGAATTCCATTAGTTTGAAGAAATGAGATCAGTTCCTTGTAACCTTTCCTCTTTTGACGGATTTCAAATGGTATATTCTTTAAAGTCTTTATGATTGTATTCCCAATTTTCAGTGGGTTTGCCGAGGTTTCCTTTAATACTGCATCTCTGGTCTGTCTTCTTGCAAATCTCACCACTATCTCTCCAGGCAGGTCATTTCTCCTGATATAATTGGAGTATGCTCTGTAGGCAGTCTCTATGTCTTTTACTATTTCATCCGCTGAAATACCTGTTACTGGAGCGATAATCTCTCCCAGAGTCTTCTTTAAATCTTCTTTTTCCTTTTCCGGCACCCCCTGAAATCTGAGAGTCATGTTAGCTTTTTCCATTTGAAGCTGTAACACACAGGTTTCCTGAAGTTTTTGTGCTGTTTCCACTTCCATCACTCTTTTCTTCATCTTCTTATTTGCGATATCCATCTCTGTAATTTTTACAGTTGCATGCTCCACTTTCTTCTCCGTTTCTGCCAGCTGGCGCTGCTGCAGAGCGAAGTTTTGATTCAGTGTGGCCAGTTGCTGGTTAACACCACCGAGTTGCTCCATTACTGGCTTCAGCATATCCGCTAGCGACTTCATGACGTCTGCTCCCTCATCCGGTCTTGGGCTCTGACTGCCTGTTTTTGGTTTTAACTTTCCTCGGGAAGCCGCCATATTTCACTTTGTTTACACTTCCAAACTGCTATGCCAGGACCCGAAAGACTCGTCGCTCTGCTATCAGTACTCAAGTAAGTCTCTCAGAAAAGAATTCGCTGTTTGCTTCCCCCCTTCCCCCTTCGCTACATTCTTAGGAGGCGTCCCTCCTTACGTGCCGCTTTTCCCACGGGGGGGGGGTTACTCCATTTTAGTAAAAAGTCCATTTATGTTGAACTCACGTTCATTGTTGGTCATAACTTGACCCCGCTCTCTTCATATGCTATTTCGCTCGATCTCCTGCGCTTGTCCCAGTTAGATTGGCTTGTTCACTAAGGGCACCCAGCCCGCCTGACCCACGGGGAGGGAAGCCTCTATTCTCCGGCATCCAGCCGTCAAAGAGGCTAACCCTCAAGAGCCCCCTGGCCTGGAACCCTTCACAAGGGCTCCGTGGGGGTGCCACTTGAGGTGGCACCCCTCCAAGCCGAGGGTGTGCTAGTCGCTTCCTCAGACATCGAGGAGAGTGACCGCCATCACCAATCCACCCACCAGAATCCAACAGTAGGTAGTTCTTTAATGGTCATTAATGGCTTCATCATTTGTCCTTATAATTACTGGGTAGGGGGATAAATTAATTGTTTGTGCAGTTTGAATTTGATATACACAGAAAGGGCCAAAGCATACAAGACATGAGAGGTCCATGTCCAGGTCTATCAACAAGTTCTTTCTTCATTACAGCCATGTGGGACTAGGAGCTGTAGGAGAGGAAAGCTGCAAGGACTTGCGGGAGGCATTTCATTTGCTGCTCCCCCACTATTTCCTCTTAAAAAAATTCCTGCAAGCCTGCATAACCTCTCTCCTTTTCCTGGTTCTTTCACTCCTTCTTCTACCTAGGAAACAATGGCCCAAGTGTGTGGTGATGGCCACTGGGCCAGGCCCAGTTACATGGTAGGGAACCCTCAAGGACTTGGGGGAGGGCACCTTACTTTCCTCTGTATCCCCTTCCCCACACTATTTTTTCTGTCCCTCCTCCTGGCAACCTTCATAGCCTCTCCCCTTTCCCTGCCACATGTTTGCCTTTTCAGCCATTCACCAACCTCCCTTCTATCTGCCTTCCATCTTTATTTATTTACTATTTATTTATTTTAATATATTTATTTATTATTTTATATTATATATTTATTATTTATTTACTCATTCATACCCCACCTTTCTCCACAGAGCAGATCAAAGCAGCTTACATTATTCTCCTCTTCTTTTTTTTATCCTCAAAACAACCCTCTGAGGTAGATTAAGCTGCAAGTATGACTGATATCACACACATTAAATAATCCACTTTCAGTAAACTTTCCACCTGAATTTTACTGTGTGAACTGGCAAAATCCAGTTGAAAAGTGCATTAAAAATGGATTATTTAGTGTTTATAATCACAGCCCAAGTGACTAAGCTAAAAACCACTCAGTGAGCTTCCACAGAAAGACTGGACTCGAACCTGAGTCTTCCAGACACTACTCTGAAGCTCTGTCACACCATACTGGCTTTCATAGGATGGCTTCTGTTGGATAGTAGTGAGCAGCCAGGACTAATTGTTGTACAAATCAGGTGGTTTCAAGTCACAGTGGTTTCTGTCAAGCCTAAAGTTGCCAACCTCCAAGTGTGACCTGGAGATCTCCCAGAATTACAACTGATTTCCAGATGACAGAGATCTGTCCCCTGGGGGGGAAAAGACTGTTTTGGAGGGTGGACTCTATGGTATTATATCTGGCTCTCTTCCTCAAACCCTATGGTCCCCAGTAAAGGTTCCCTTGCTCGAAAGCCAGTCGAATCCGACTCTAGGGTTGCGGTGCTCATCTCCGTTTCAAAGCCGAAGAGCCAGCGCTGTCCGAAGATGTTTACGTGGTCATGTGGCCGGCATGACTAAACCCCAAGGCGCACGGAACGCTGTTACCTTCCCACTGAAGTGGTACCTATTTATCTACTTGCAATTTCTTGCTTTTGAACTGCTAGGTTGGCAGGAGCTGGAACTAGAGACGGGAGCTCACTCCGTCATGCGGCACACTCGGGTCTCGAACTGCTGAACTACTGACCTTCCACAGCCTGCAGTTCAGCGTCTTAACCACTTGAGCCACCGCAGCTCCATGCTCCCCAGACTCTACTTCAAATTCTCCAGGAATTTCCCAGCCTGGTGCTGGCAACCCTAGCCAGGCCTGGCCCCAGTGAGTCCTCCCTCAAGGTCTAAAATAGGCCTGGAAAGGACCCTGCCCCCTCCACCTGCCTTTCATCATTGTTTGGATATTTTTAAACCTCCAAATGTATTATGTTTTGTTTGTTTTGATGTCATATTTTTCTGTAGACCCGGGGCCCTTTTCAGGTTTGTAGAAAGATCTGCCTTGCCCATTCACAGCTCCAGTCACCGGATTTAAGTATCCTCAGATTTGTCTGAGTTCCTATTAGCATATAAAATAACCCTTTTCTTCTGCTATTATCCTAAGCTAAATTCCATGTCCTCTCAAGATGCTATTTGTTCTTGGGGATGCCTGTTTCTTTCCTTCTCCAGTATGGCTAATAGTGATTTGGAGAGGGAATTTAGATTGGAGGAACAATGTGCAAACAAAGGGAGAGAAAGATCAGACACTTCCTCCTTTAATACTGCCCCCCTGATCAAATTAGCTATACTGAAATAAAGACAAAGACAGGTGTTTACCACATTTGGACAGGTCTGTTTTGGGTTGTTGTTTTTTTCATGGTTTTTTTTTTTTTTAATGAACAATGAATGTCATTACAGTAGCCAAGACTAGCCCAGGCTCATCAGAGCTCAGAACCTAAGCAGGGTCAGCCATGGTTAGTACTTGAATGGGAGACCACCAAGGAAGTCCAAGGTTATTATGCAGAGGAAGGCAATGGCAAACCACCTCTGTTCATTTCTTGCCTTGAGGGGGGGTGTTTTAAGTCGGTTGCAACTTGGCAAAACTTGGTTATTAATACACCATTATAATAATCTCTCTGTTCTCTGAATTCCTAGCTTCCATATTGCAAAGCAAGTTCCTAGCCCCTTTCATTGCAGAGACAGCCATCTCTCTGCAACAAAAGGAGCTAGAGATTTTCCTTTTTAAAAAGTTGGGAATTCAGAAAATCAGACAATTTTAAATTACGTTGTAACACTTTAACAATATTCAATTGCCAATTAAAAAATTTCT